TGTTTTATGCTAACTGAGCAACTGATAGCATTTTATTATTCTCCATGTAATATCGAATGACATATTCGAAATATTCGCACGGTTAACTTGTCATGTTATTTACTCATAATTTTTCGCGCATTTTGCATGTCATCGAATATCTACAAATGTATTATTATTTGCCAATGGCGTTCAATTCAACTCTTCATCACAAAGTAAGGTTTTACACACAGAGTATATGACGATATGGACATATGGTAACTTTTTGTATAAAATTCCCTGTTTTCCCGCCATGACAGTATACAAGAACTGCCAGGCGCTCCCGAGCATGCACCCTTCCCAACAGCCCCTTCGCGCGTCGGATGCCTACCTGAATACTTCATGTAAGCGCCTGGGTACGAGGCAGCCTAATCAAGAACAGTTGCGAAAAATGCAGCACTACATGTAGGTCCTCTGGCGGGAATCGAACCTGCGGTCCTGCGATTCCGGTGCAGCGGTCTAACCAACTGAGCTACAGAGGCCAGTTGTCGAGCTCTAACCAACTGAGCTACAGAGAGACAGTTGTCGAGCTCTAACCAACTGAGCTACAGAGAGACAGTTGTCGAGCTCTAACCAACTGAGCTACAGAGGTCAGTTGTTGAGCTCTAACCAACTGAGCTACAAAGAGACAGTTGTCGAGCTCTAACCAACTGAGCTACAGAGGCCAGTTGTTGAGCTCTAACCAACTGAGCTACAGAGAGACAGTTGTCGAGCTCTAACCAACTGAGCTACAGAGAGACAGTTGTCGAGCTCTAACCAACTGAGCTACAGAGGTCAGTTGTTGAGCTCTAACCAACTGAGCTACAGAGGCCAGTTGTCGAGCTCTAACCACAAGTTCATGTATATATGTATTTTCGGGTGTGCGGGTTAGTGAACATGATAAGGTGAACTCGCTTTTTTGTATTTTTTTTATTCTCACTGCTCTCCTTTTTGTCAATTCTGTGACAATACGTCTCTCAACCAATCAGAATTCAGTAGTTTTGCCATGCATACAGAACCTGTGCGGCAGAATCTTTGACTTCATTCTTTGGTTTAAGAATATGTTTCCCAATACACTTATTTTGAAAGTTCCAAGTCCGGACATCAGAAGTACCATAATGACACGTCACAATTCCATCCCAGTCTCTCTGTCGTGTTTCATCTGTATGGAAAATGTGCAATGTTTGAAAAACTGTGAAATGTACGGATATGTGCTATACCGGGTCTTCATCGCCACCCAGGTCTGGTTGTACGACGACAGGAAACATGTAGCTGATCCGGTGGATAAATATTCCTCCAACACAGCAACTTCTTCACCAGATCACGTCTGCAATCAAGCAGCCCCCGCGAAGAATACAATCGTCACAAACTAAATAAATGTGAGATGCTCACCTGAAGCAAAATCAACAATTACTGGCAACTTCAACTCTTCCATTTTGACTCCGAGATTCTTTGATTGTTTAAGAAAGGAACCTAAAATGAATAACTGATAGTATTGTTGTACTTTTTAACACTGGTTACCGTAAATACTATACTGTTTATTGTACTCTTACCCCAATAGCCTCGTTTCCATGTGATTATTTCCTCATGCTTCGTGCATAGTTGGTTTAAGGTTTGTGATTGGGTTCAAGATCAAAAAGAAACATATTCGTGCGTGAAACATGGCGATATAACATTCACGTGCGCCTGTCATGATAAAACACGCAAACATGGAGGCCGATGGGGCAAAAGTTTAATGAACAGTAAAGTCTACTGCGGACACAGAGCGATGTTATTTTGAAAAGTATTAGCAGAAAATTAGTGAGCAAGGACTGCTTTTCAGTTTTCTGGTACTTACTATTCTTACTCATTTCTTTGATGCCTTAATATGGTATTTTACGGGAGAAAAGGTCGGCTGGGAGTAAAGTGCGGGTCACGGTCCAAGTTTCTCTGTAAATACGTTTTACACAGCACGACTCTGTGCTAGAAGTTGTGTTGCCAATTGCAGTTTACATCTACTATGGTTGCAGACGTTTGGGAGCCATGCCATACTGTAGATTCTTTTTTTGAAACTGTTGGGCTAGCTCCAAATTCCCAAACTAGTTGCATTAAACAATTCTGAAAATCAAGCAGTGGAGCTAACTATACTGGAGCTACTGCCTAACAACTCCCAAAAATAAAATCTACAGACATAATCCACACTATGAAAATAATTATGCAAACTAGAAAATATTGGTGGCAACACCTTGTGATAATTCACAGCTTTGTGCGTCTCGAATTGTTGATGTCATCCTTAAGCTTCGATCTTGACCTAGAATCAATAAATATTTCTCAGTATTTCAACTACATTCATCTGCATAGCGTCTCAAGCTATAAGTAACCACTCCTTCGTTAAACATCGTACAATGAATCAACGACTAAAACGACAATATAGAAAGACTAAAGTTGGGGAAGTTAATTGACTGTCGTGCAGCAAAGGGGCTCAATCACTCCTTGAACAAAGCTAGTACGTCTACAGGCGATTCAACAAGGGGTACGAAACTTCACATATGTTCGTCCAATATGTAACATCGCGCCCAGTGCTTACCAAAATCCTCCCTCGTAGCTTTTCCATTAACTTATCTCGACTGAGATGTGATTTAGATGCTGGTCAGATAAATCACAGGTTTTATTCAGACGCTAAGTATAATACCTCCACTGTGCCGGTACATTTACAATTCAACTATACTTACCAGCACTGAGTATGGTATGTCCACGTGCGCCATGAAAACGTATTCTACAAGGAGGCCCACTGTGACCACAACGCGACTTAAGAACACGTCCACTGCCATCTGGTTGGTCAAAAATCCAAATCTACATAACAATGAAAGAGAATATCGCAATACTGTAATAAACCAGTTTTATGTATATACAATATAACCTTCTTTAGTATACCATTATACATATATTTGAATCGACTATAATGAAACGAAATTTTGCGCACAGTTTTATTGTTGTTTGACAGAAAGCGAACGAGTTATGAATGTTCAGATGAGGTCAGGGTACATATACTCAGAACATTCAGAACTCATTTACTCGTTCACATGGACACTAGAAATCCCAGTAAAGATTGCAAGGGGATTTAAATGAAGAATATTTTATTATTCCTATTCTACATCTATTTCTTTGCAAAATGCTTGGGGGTATTAGCTTATTACACATTTCTCGAAAATATTTCTACTGATTATTTGAATATGTTTCCCTTTAAAAGGCTTGCTATATTCATTAGCCTAGCCATATCCGACGTTTCTACTGCAAGGGAAATAGCGTGTTTTACGTACTTTTAAAGAGTTATCAGGACTAGTGGAAATGAGCAAAGGTTGTGATTGAAGAAATCTGATTGCAGTAACACTTCCATCATGAGCATGACGTAATGTACTCGATAAACATCTTTCTTCTAAATTCCAGAGAGCAACATGGCCCAATGTACTTCCTGTCGCCATAATAGGTTGACTATCTGAAAAATAACGAAGTCCACATTATATATACTATACGTATACAATTGTCCTGCTTTTATACGCAATAAAATTGAGAGATCGAGTTTTATTTTCTTGCTTCTATGAATGCAAAAACCCCTGACATTTACTAACTCATTGTAGTGACGTCATAAACGGTCGATTTGGC